GAGTTTCGTTTGAACCATTCTTTAAATATTCATTTAAAAAAGCTGAGATTTTGGAATCATGGAGAACGAAGTGCATTTTGTAAGCTCGTGTTAAGAATTTTTAAATAAATCTTATCTGTGCTCCAAAAGCTTTGTTCTGAAAAAAAGTGCAATGAAAGGACCCATTGGCTAACATCTGACATCCAACGAACAGTAGTATTGACTCAGCTGCATGATTACACTTGCATTTCTACAGAAAGTCACTAATGGTAAAGAGTTGTGGAATACGAGTTCCATTGTAAGATTGGTCAATGTAGGCAACATTAACGAAACAATAGATTACTTGCTCCAGTTCATTTTGTTTTCTCGATTCATAGTTTTGTTTTAAAGTGAATGGCTTGGGGGAACTCGTGCGTGGAAACTTTTCTCTGTACACTCCAGAGGTGAGAGCTTAAAGAATCGCTAGAGAGAATCCGAAGAAAGTTTTTACGTTTGCCAAGTCATACTTTCCAAAATACCCACCTCTACGCACAAACACACCTCAGGCACCATGCCTCATAAAAACTAAAATTTCATAGCGCTAGAATGAACGCTTACTAACAGCCTTGTGGAGAATAAACATGGAATGATTGGGAGGGAATACTTTAGTTTCTGATAGGTTAAGCAGGATTTCCATTGGTAGAAGTGAGATCGGTAAGTGAAATTAACACACCAACATGTGTCCTGTTTTGAAACAACGATTTCAAAGATGCGTGGTATTTTTCTTGGTTAAACGTTTGCTTAAAATATTTATTCACTTTGAAATGTTGAAATTTGATTGACATGCCTTCAATCGGTGGGCATTGCTTGGTTTTTTTGTTTTGTAATACACCATACAACAACAGTCATAAGATACCAGCATTTGTGACTCTTCTGACTTCCTACTTTGGGTAGTTTAACTTTGATTACCTGGGCCACGGTACACCACTGCAAAATAATTGCAAGCTAGCTAACGTATCGTTTATTCGCAATACACTTTCTTTCTGTTTCTGCCTCCTCTAACTTGAGACACCTCAGACAGTAACAAAATGCAAAAACATAACCTCATGAAATTCTTTGTTGGATAACATTCATGGGCACTTCTCAGACATAATGGTATTAAGCATTTTGTCAGGAATGGCGGGAAAAACTACGCCACTCGGTCTAGAGTCGAAATTGTAATTCTTTCATGGTTTATTGATAAAATTAGCTCGTGGTTAAGAAAGAAAGAGAAGAATGACATTCGCCAATACAAAATATGCTTGCCTCAAAGAGGCTTTTTAGTTATAAGACAATAATTTTTTTTCTACATTTTCCCATATTGAACTGTGATTAGTCAGTTTCTAACCAATCATCGCTGAACAAGGGTAGAGCAATTAAAGCTGATATCTTTTCATAAAGTAGCAGCAGTCCTACTTTTTTAGTTGTATTCTGCACAAAGCACTGTAAACAAAAATGAAAGGAAGTAGCAAAAACTTTTCGTCCAAAATTTTAATAACAACCTCACGAAAATCATTGACCTTTGGTTAGTTAGCTGCCAACCAATCGTGGCTGTCCAATAGCAAAGTACTTCTCCATTCCATTATTCCTAGCATTTTTAAAAAAAATTATTTGTCATTTTCTCCACCTTATATAAATTAGGGCGTGAAAAATTAGATCAAAGGCATATATATGATATGATAAAGGTGAGCCACTTATTTCCCCACACACAAGCAGAAACCAGAAACGACGATATTAAAAAGGCAGGCAAAGATGCTGTCAATTCCAGGTCTTAATTATTGCAACTGTTCTGGGTTTTTTCGCATGTTTTCCAGAATGAAAAAGAAGCTAAAAATGCTCCTAAAATATTATTAAAAAGATGTGCAAGCCAAAAAATTTTCTAATAGCTCTATTGTGCGACCCATTCTTCCAGGGTCCGCGAAGAGTTGAGAGGGTTTGGCTCTGTAAAATGTAAGTCTTATGTATCTTCATTTTGAAATAAATTCTTTTTACGATAGAAGGATAGATACCTGAATTGATGGATTTCTTGCCATCACTTGTGCTCTTCCTTTAGTGGTAGCGAAGACTTTTACCTGCCGTATCACTTACTGAATTAGACTTTACACCCACACAGCTTTCCTAATGCTTCTTCATCTTTACTTCCTCCATTTTTATGAATCGGCTTCAGTGTTCTTTTCTCACGTCTTGATGCCGTGTCTGTAGACGTCTACGTCTCTACACTCTACAGTGCTCTGCACCCGTCACACCGGTACATTTATGAGAGGGGAAACCGCCTCTCCATGCTCCATCATTGCAAGTACCATTAGTGTATGACAAACGGTCATTCCTCTTCTGTATAGCTATTTGATAACTTTTGCAGAAATCTTTCCCCTAAAATGACAACGAGGTATTGTCATATGCCCTCGAATGTTTGACCAACCTCCCATTTCCACCTTTTCAAAATGGGAATTAAGGATGTGGTAACTTTATGGTGTTCTTGAAATTCCAAAACTTATCGCACCTATTATTTGACTGTCAGAGGTGCATGGGGAGAGCATACAAGTATTTACCGGATATTAGGTACTCCTTGTAAATCAGGAATCCCCTTTTGACATTTAAAATGTGTACAAGTCTGCCTTCTATCATTATGTTCTTGTCTTAAAGTAATTCCAGCTTGTTCCTATCACCGTTACAAGGCTGGTGTCATCCATGCTTCTTTCTCTGTGGTGGTTTGGGCGCAAATTTGGCACGCACTTCGCTCTCTTGATGTAAAGGCTATTAAGGGACAGTGTATGGACATACCTAATATCCCTGGCCATCAAATCCCATTGTTCTTTCTAAGGTTATTTCTCATTCCTCTATTGAGTGCTCCCCCCGGAAGCACACAGATGACTCTGCGGTAGAGGGCCAAACATTAAGATTCCCAACCTAAAATAATTCAGTTGTATATTGCGAAAGTTAAAGCATACGTTCTTTTTTTTCATTCAAATGGACTAAATATGCAGGCGATATCTTGACTGATTTGACATGTTTCATAACCTCGACATAAGATTCCATTGAAGCTAGATTTCCAGATTTTTCCACTGTCGTGTGCTGTTCAATGGCAAATCGTATTCGTCCAAAATTTTGCCTAAGCATTCAAGACCCATTAAATCCCTCAATTCATTAAGGCTATTTTAGACCGCCGAATTTACCCACCGAATACTAAGATTGCGTTTTCCTTATTCATTTAAATTGCGCTTTTAGCGAGTGCACTTATGCTTTAAAACAACGCAGCCCTTAAGCATGCATTTGTGAACAGTTGACAGGACAAACGTCCCCGTACTCTTATTTGAAAATTTGTTAGTCTGATCTAAATCTGCTGTGTAAATCAGATGCTTATGTTTGCGAAGTCAGCTTCTTGCCTTTAAAAGCTCAGTAAAGCTACAGACCTTATCCAGCTATCACATCTCTCTGTAGTCAAATGTATCTCTAGGCTCCTTCGGCGGTAAACGAGATGCACATTTTTCTAACAATGGGAAGGAGCGATAAAATGTCGTAGCCTTCATCCTCCCCTTAGGCAGCCTGCAATGTACAAACTACGCAGTGGCTGAGACTGCGACGATGATAGCATCGGTGAATGAATGGCAGGAGGTGATGGGGGGAGGGGGAGACGCGGAAAGCAGCAGTTTGTGATGTCATTAAGGCCGTGGGGTGAGGCTGGGAACAGGGATGCTCATCACTCGGACTCCGCAGAAATTTGAACAGTTTGATATAATTTTGGAGGTTATGCCTTGAATAGATTGTCTGCTCTAGGGATAAGAAGTAATGCCATTCCCTGAGCTATTTGATAGAAGTAGATGGTGAGCTGTCAGGAGTAGAAGAAAGGCGAAGTGTAAACGAGGGCTACTTTTATCCCTTTACTTGTGAATGCCTCCTTGGTAGTCCCTCGCCGCCTCATTATATGATGAACTTTTCTATTGGCGTTATCCCGAAACTTGATCCGCCTTCATGGTAAAAGATATTCAAAAAGCATGATTTTTCGTTTGGAATGCAACAGTTATTCATCATTCAGTTAAGTACGAAGAAAAGAAGTTTCAAATCACTTTATTTGTTTTTAACAGAAGCCCACACGTTTTCAACTTGAAGCTGATGGCAGGTACGCTTTAGTCAGAAGACCTGAGAGTTTATCGGTCTTTAGAATACATGTGTAAACTTGTTCCAAACATTAATCGATGGGTTAATTCGAACAAATTAACTTTACGGTTGCCAGGGTGAAACAAATCGCCAATAAACTGATCCATTCCTCAAAATGGGACAGGAAGCGAGAAGAATTTGTTGAGATGAATGAGGTCAAATGTTCTCACAGAATGGCACAACTAAGTAGGCGTTTTTACTGTTTTTAAGTCGTTTCCTTTTCTGTCAGACGTAGGGCGAGTTCTAATTCTACAACCACGTTCTTGGAATAGGGTATCAAGTTAGAGGCATCACCACCGCTACTGCTGCTGTGGGTGCTTCCACTAAGACACCATTGCCATTTAACTGTCCACTTTTTCTATTCCATTTCATTCAGTCACCAAAATAGTAATTAAAAATAGTTACTGGCCCCCTTCTTGCTTAACCACGGAATGTCCTTATCTGCAACACAGCCCACTCCAGTCCAGTGCAGTACAGTTTGGTGTACTCCTTTCATATTTGATATTATTGAGGTACGTGTTGGAACTGTGCAGCTACGAC